TCCCAATCTAATCTCTTGGAACTCCAAGAAATAGAAAAGTGAGCTCGCTAGTCTACTAAAGCGAAATACAAGTCACTTGCTCTTGCTACTTGCGATCTCATTTGGGTTTAAACTCTGCTCAAAGAACTTGGTATACCATTGCACTCTGCTCCTACACTATGTTGTGATAATATTGGAGCAACCTACTTGGCTGCAAATCCGGTGATGCATTCCAAAACTAAACATATAACCCTAATCAATTACTCCTCCAATCCTTACCCATTACTAAGATCCTTATATTGGCAACAAGATTTGAATTCATGACCTTATATATTATAAAATGACTCCTTACCCACTAAACCAACTCTTGTTAATAATTGATGTCTTTATTTTGATCATAAATATGAAGCATTAATCTCATGTGACTCCCCTTTATTTTTATTCTGATAAATAAGCTATATCATTGATAATACTTTGATGTAAATGATTAAAAGATAAGTATTTTTAAAAACCAGCATATAGTTTTTCTTAACAAATAATCAACTTACTTTTTTTCCAAGTAATTAATTTATGTAAATTAATGAACTAATTTATTTTTAACAATGTATAAGTATATTAGTTTCCAATGTCTAATGTGTTTTTAATGCGATCATTGCCGATCCTTCGTAAATGAAACAATCCATCACAATTTGTTGCCAGAGGAATTCATCACAGAGATTTTATTTTAATTAAGAATGTCAAATTAAAACTTGGACTTCTCCAACAAGATAGCGACAGGAATAGAAAAAATTGTTGCCGTACATACAAACAAACATAATAAGGAAAGGGAGGAATGTATATTTAATTTACGTTTGATTTGATTTAAAAAATGTTATGAACAAACCGAAAAATTAGGAATAAAAAGTCTACGATATACCTTCATGAAAAAAAAGAAAAGAGCGGTTTATAGTTTTCTGCTCCAATAATTATGAATTACATAGACTTCTTTTTTATTTTAAAAACATGTATAGACCCTATTTAAAAATAAAAGGTACGTTCCGCAAACATCTTGCCTTTTTTAAAAAGAAAAAATAAATTTACTCAACTATAATCAGTCAATAACTTACTAAACCTACCATTCTTTCTACAAAATTACCGGACTTCAACATGGTTATATAATTAATAATCTTTAGAACTAATACTTTTTAATTAAACTCCTTTGAACGCCTTTTTTGAACTTAACGTTGTTAAAAATACTCCGAGTTTATAATCAATCTTTTGACTTTTTTTCTAAGCAGAAAATTTAAAAAAAAAAAATCAACTCACAAAGAAGAGAGCGCTGCAATAATATTACTATTTGCCATTTTGCCTAATTCAATAATAAATTCAAATCGTTCAGATTTTCTGAGTATTTATACTTGTTAAGAAGCAAGACATAGATAAACATAATTTTTTAAATTTAAATGTAAAATTTTAATAATTAATAGTAAAATAGAAGACAAAATCGGAAAATCCAGATCCATTTGCTTATACATATTAAGTTCATTTCTCCAATTGAATCTTAGAAAATGGTTTTACTTTAATAATAGCATGGGTGTGATTTCAAAACTCTGTTAGACTATTATAAATAATAAAAACTACACGAGAAGATTTTATTGGAGAAATGGATCTAATGGATGCAAGCAAATTGAAATATAGTCCTATAAATTAATAATTTAAACATCTATGAGTTATTACAAATACATAATTACTAACCACTACACATCAAGGTGAAATATGACCACAAATGCTTGATATCTTAAAAAGGAAAGAGACCTAATATATCTCAAACCAGATTAACTTATGCAATGATGGTATAAAAAAATCTCATGCAATAGTAAATTTTTTAAGTCCAAACCAAATAAAAAATACCAATCTAACACAATAACAATTAAAATTCACGTATAAAACAAAATAAAAACCTACAACTACAGAGCAAATAAAAGTCTTTAGCTAGGAAGGCCTCTTAATTTTTTTTTTTTGAAAAAAATATGGAATTGATCGACTCGCTCAAGTGAAACCAGATTATGGACTTTGAAACGTAGAAAGAAAACTAGGTTAGCATTACCCTTACTTATAGGAAGAGGTAGTCCTAACTAACTTTTTTAGCTATAGATTCTCCCACCCAGGGTACTTTTTGCATACTCAATCACCCTCCACTAAGAGCCCATGTGGTGGATTTTGATGAAGGATTCTAAGCCTTATACTATCTCTGATTTTTAATATAAGAGCTAATTAATCAATTTGAGTAGATTAAAAAAGTTAGTTAAGTTAATTATTTATCACATATAAGTATTGTCTTTTCTAAAATATCCTTGTTAATCAAGTATATTTGTTAGAAATACTATTATTATGAGGACTACGTACCTTAAAAAAAAAGACAAATATGAGAGAAAAAGTGGATTGAGATCTTATATTTAAGACTAAAATAAAAGTTAAACAAGCTCTTATATTAAGGACAATAATTAGTATGTCCTAATGAAGCTTTCTCTTTAATTAGTGAAATACTGTACTCTATCCCAAAAAAAGAAAACAGAATTTAGTGGGCAATATTTTTGGTAAGACCAAAGATGTAATTTTTCAATCGTATAAATTAATGCCTTAGGATACAAAAAGCAGAAAGTAAACTCCTAATATTATTTCCATATGAGGATTCAAAGGCCTAATAACTTGTCCCAAAAAATAAGATCTTTTCCAACTCAATCAGAGTTAGTCAATTAACAATTTTTTTTTTAGCAGATTACTTAGTCGTTAAAACAAGCTTTCCCACGATGAGATTGAGCATTTTATGTAAGGTAATAATAGGTAATGAAATATTGAATCTAAAGCAGATTAATGACATAAATAATTAATAAACGCTACGTTCCTGTTTCTTTGTTTTAAATAAACTCTACGTTCTGATTCTTCCATTGGAAGGGGATATATAGATATTATTAATTGTTTTAGTCAATAACGTTACTTTTAAAATACTCCTCACGTACTATTTACTATTTATAACTCACTTTCAATATGTTTTATATAGATCGATAAAAATTTTAAATTTCATTAATTCTTATTTAAAATTCAATAACTTTTCAACTTTATTTTTATTTTATATACAATATATTATATGAGAACAAAGTCAACACAACAATAAGTTAAGAGTAAACTTGTACGTTCATGTGAAATTTCTCTCTCCCTGCCTTATAAATAAGATGAAAAAATTTGCTTCTTTCTTTACCTTATAAATAGGACCAAAAAAGTAATATATAGATACACGTTAATGATCATATTAATCAATGAGAACTAGAGGGCCCCGGGGGAAAATGAAACTGGAATTAGGGCAAACAACTTTCTTTTTTTTTTTGTAAAAAAATATACAAGAAGGCAAAAAGCTTTATAGGTACAAAAATCACAAAGTGCACTACCAATAATGGTTAGGTCTAGCAGGATGGGCTAATTCCTCATAACGAACTAAGGTTTGAATTTTTATTGGGAAAGGTGCCTATGTTGATAGTGTCTCGAATGAGAAGATACTAGTGCTTGGGAGGGGAAAAAAATAATAATAACGAAGCTAAGTAACAAATGGAACTAATCTTCAAAAGCATTAGCCTCTCTGAAAATATGCTCATGAGAAATCTCCCAATCTCTCATAAGTCATAAGCTGGCTTCTGATGTCCTTGGCAAGATCAAAAGCACGATATCTTAGGATCACTTATCATAAGCAGGCTCTCTTTCTTCTTCGATCGCCGCTCCTCCCTCTCCCTCTCCCTCTGTTCGGTTTATGTCAACTTTCTCTTTATAACTTCTGCTGCAGGGACAAAATGAGGGGAAGTGAAGGAGTTGCTGATGCGTTTTATGAATGGAGAAAGAATCAAGGGAGATTTGCAATAAGGTCTCGTGGTAGTAGGAACCCATTTGCAAAAAAGTCTCGTTACAAGTAAGCATCTTATGACAAATTTTAGAATAAAACATAACAACTGGTTTTAACTGCTCACTTGTCATTATGATTTTTTAATAATTATTTTTTTGTAGACTTAACTGTAATTCTCCCAAAAAAATAATTCATTCACTTCGTCCCAGAAATAAAATACAGCACCGAAAACTTTTCTCATTGCAATTTCTTGGCCCAAAATGGAAAAACCAGCTGTTCGTGTCGTCTGGATCCGATCAGGCATATCTTGGACAACATAATTTGGGCTTAGCAAGGCCGAATTTTGTTTTTGGATTTGGGACAGTGGATTTGCTATGTTACCCCTTTTTAACCCATGCTTAATTGCTAAATAAATTCCAGAAATTGATCCTTAATACTTTGAAAAGATTTCTTTTGCCAACTATAAAAATTTTCTTAATTATATTCTCTACTATAAAGTAATTTCTCTAGAATTTTCTGTCAAACAATAACCTCCAGCTATATTCTTATGCTTTTTCTTGCTTCCTTCTTGTTCAATATATGGTTGATTTCTTGTTTGCATCACGATTGAAATTACCTATAAGTAAATTTTACATAATCATAAAAAAAAACTCTTCCGACATGTTTATCTTGTATTTCATAAATCAGAATTGAAAAACTACTTATAAGCTATTCTAAATAAGCTTTAAATGGCCGTGTGATCATTTAACTTGTATATGCGCGCGCCACATATGTATAAGGCCAATTGTGGATCTGAAAGGACAGAAACCTTGGTGACTAACTGTTAAACCGTAGTTAATTATAGATATCGATGCATAGACAAAAATAAAGTGTAAGGACTAAATTTTTTTTTTCAAAAAAAGATAAATTACACGGATTCATAGATTAATTTTCTGAATTAATGAAGAAAGTAAGGGAAGAGTGTCAGAGTTTCTTGAGCAGTCATGCAAACTTTGTGAACAGTAAAATAAAGAAAGTAGACAAATTTCAAGATTCCGTTTAGCGTTACATATGCAAAACAACTAATGAACTGCCTTCATGATCACAAGCTAGATTACCAAAGGATCAGCATAAAAAGCGATGCCGAGGCAAGAAATTACTCTTGGACATTTCATTCATAGAAGACCTCTCGTATTCCACTTCCGGGAGTAAAGAAGGCAGGTTCTCTTGGATTTTGCAATTCAATCCACAGATTGCTCAGATAGAAAACAAGGTTAGACATCGTGAGTCTATCATTTGGATCAGCTTGAACACATAGTAACCCAATCTGCAAACATTTTATGCTTTCATTTTCTGAATAAGATCCTCTCATCAGACATGGGTCCAATATTTCAAGTTGTGTCCCATTCTGCCATTGTTTCCAAGCCTACAACAATTTGGAAAATAACACACTCATCAATAATGCTCTAATTAGATACTTGAAACGAGTTCTGAAAAGGGAAAACAAAGTGGTTGGAGTTAATACTCACATGACTTAAGAGGTGTGGTTTATTGGAGCTGCCGTTTCTCCTGCCACTAATTATCTCCAAAATTATAACACCAAAACTGAAAATATCTGATTTTTCCAAAAATTTTCCATATATTACATATTCGGGAGCCATATAGTCACTGTATTTATATAATAATATCAAATTAGCTTAATATTCAAAAAATACAAGACTTAAGATGCATCTAGCATCCTGAAGTACTTTTTCATATGCATCTAGCACCACAAAATATTTTGCAGTGCATCCAGCATGCTAAAATATTTTTTTAGGTACATCCAGTACCTTGAAGTATTTTTTTTTTTTTTTGCCTTGGTGCATTCAGCAATAAAAAATATTTTTAGATGCTGAGCGCATCGAAAAAAAATACTTTAAGGTACTGAATGCATAAAAAATATTTTAAGGTGTCAGACACATTTGAAAAAAATACTTCAAGATACTAAACGCATCACAAAATACTTTAGGATACTGGATGTATCCAAAAAAATAGTCCAAGGAACTATGTGCACCTTAACCCTTTTTAAAAATTAATGAGTAAATTTTAACCTTTAATGTTCGTACGAAGAATAGAGCAAATAATTGCATATTATTAAATGATTTTCATGAAAATATTTGAGAAACAAAATTGGGGAGAAGGGCAAAAAGAAGAAATATGAATGAAAACTTACTGTGTTCCCACAATCTTACTCGTACTTTCTTCATTTTGATCGCTAGCATTAGCATACATCTTTGCTATGCCAAAGTCTGATATCTTGGGCTTCATATTGTTATCAAATAAAATATTACTGAGTTTCAAGTCACGATGGATAATTTTGAATCGTGAATGTTCATGTAAATATGAAAGTCCTTGAGCAATTCCTCTAATAATTTTGCACCGTTCAAACCAACTTGACATTTTTTGCTCTTGTTGTGAACCTGCAAAATCAACGAGGGGTTAATACTTTGGAGTGCCAAATTAGACCTTTTTAACATGATAACATGTCAAAAAAATTGAAGGAGGTCCGAACGATATGAATCAATACGAGTTGGATTGTAATTGTAACCAGACAAAACCTTGAGATAAATTTTTTTTTGTTGACAACAAAAGAAATATATTCTATATTTTTGTGTGTGGTTAAACAAAACTGTTTTTTCTTTTTAAGCTTTTTAATAATTAGCCATTATTACCATCTCAGTTCATAATTTTATATATAAAAGATAAACGAGTGAACTCTAACAAGATAACTTGTAATAATCCATCTAACAAACAACATATATATAATTAGGTTAGAAGTCTATGCCGAATAGAAAGCAATCGATGCTCTTGTTGGGCACATATTCATAGATAAGTATCTTCTCTTGATTTTCCAAGCAAAATCCAATCAAAGCCACTAAATTCCTGTGCTGAAGTTTGGATATTAGTAAAACTTCATTTTTGAATTCTAGTGCACCTTGTTGAGAGCCCTTAGAGAGTCTCTTGACTGCAACTTCTTGCCCATTAGGAAGAATACCCTGCACAGATAAAATCCAAAGGTAATATAAAAATATATCACATATATATAATATTGTGTGTTTTACTGATACCTTGTAAACTTCTCCAAATCCTCCCTTTCCTATTTTATTGGCCTGAGAAGACTTATTCGTTGCAGCTTCAGTTGCAGACAAACTAAATCGCATGGATTTCAAGCTGAAACTTTCTTCTCCAACTGATCAATGCATAGATTTTCAAAGTGAGCTTTCTGAATCTGAGATAATCATTTGAAATGAGAATTGGTGATTGAAATTTGTTTTTCCCCCATTACAGTTTCGTTTGAGCATATCGCTTTTCCTCTTCTTTCTCCATAGGTGATAACAGTACCAAGCAACAAGAAGTAGCTCCATGCACTAACGCTCAAAACTGATCCTAACCAATCAATTCAAATCAAAGTAAATCAAACCGATCACCGAAATAGATGGATCGATTAATAAAAGAACAATGACTCAATAATCGATTTTAAGAGTGCGATAACCAACTACTTAGGTTCCACTTCTAGTTGACGGTGAATTGGTTTGGTTTAATCTAGAGATCAGGACTTTAAACTAAGAAGAAGGAGGAGGAGGAGGAGGAGGAGGAGGAGGTGGTGGAGGAGAACCTGGTTGTGACAGAAAAAGAGCGTGTGTGGAAGAGACAAGGAAGGTTTTAAATTTTCTTGAGTTGCCAGGTGGTATGAGGAAGCATTTTTCAGCAATAAGAGATTATTTATATTGCTCAGACAAAAACTTTTCTGCCACGGAACTTGAATTAAATCGACGTTTACCGCAACAAAAATCAAGTGCGAAGCTTTAAGGAACCTCGTCTTCATATGGACTTTGAAATTATATCAGTAATGGACTTTGTAATATTGGCAGATAATATAATTTATTTAACAGAATTCGTTTCAATGGAATTGTTTTGGTTATTAAAAAGAGGTTCTCACAGTACGTAGCATTACCTTTACCTATTTTAATTAACAAATGGTTATGATCCGAGGAAGACTAACTACTAGTCTATTACTAGCAAGTATATTTAATAAATGCTTTGCTCAGATTTTTTTTTTGACCCATGCAAATGCAGCCACGTTCAGTAACCCTGAAAGCGATGTGGGACAAGGGAGGAGGCCGAGATTAAAAGGATAGATTAAAAAAATGTATCATGGATGTTTAACGCCATAGCACATTCACATATGATTCTAGTTTTCACAGGTTTTTTTTGGTAAGCTAGTCTTCACAGTTTGTAAAAGTGTTTCTTTTTTTCAAAGAATCGGTTAGTGATCTTATATGTTTTTTTTTAAAAAAAAAAAAGAAAATAGTAGGACAAAAATTCAAAAGTTTGTAAAATTTTGTAAGGTCTAGGAGTGAAAGTAAATGAAGCCGCTAAGTTTCTCCATGTCTAATGAGTTTAAAACTGATCCAAAAACCAATCAATTTTCACTAAATTAAACTAAACCAATCAAATAGATCAAAATTAATACAAAAAACAATGAGTTTGAATTGTATTTTCAGAATGTAAGGACCTGTAATTCACTTTATTTTAAATCGAACCCGTTCTTTAAACTACACAAATCACGACGTTCTACCACACTATCCAATATCTCATTTTGCTGCGCCCTATAATACATACCCACTCTGAAAACTATGAACTAAAACATATGAAAATACAAGAATAAGAAGAAAAAACAGCTCATGAAACCTTGATGGGTAGAAGAGACGAAGAAGCTCATGAACGTTTGGGATTGTTCTCTCCAAGTTTGAGATAACACTTAAATTGCTTTGAGAGGCCACGTGTTATTTTGTGGAAGCATTAGTTGTAGGCAATCAGTGATTATCCATTGTTCAGAACAAAGTTTGGCTTTTCTACTACGTCACTCATATGGTTCTTGTCTTCTTGATGGAGCCAAAATAAATGTCAATATCTATTTAATTATCTATATAACTTCACCACCGAGTACTTGGATCAACTGGTAAGGGGTTATTCCAATTTAACCAAAGGTCACAGGTTTGATCCTTTGGGCATGCAGTAGTCAGGACACCGGGTGAAGTAATTCATTCAAAAAAAATTATCTATATAACTTCTTAACTAATTAAACAAAATTCTCTAATTAGTAATTTTAAATGAAGATACATAATTTTAAAATTTTATAAGAATAACTAATTTTAACTAATTTTCTTAATTGTGATGACATGAAATACCCAAAGTATATTTACGGGAATCAATCCTTTGATTGTCCTTAATGAATATAAACTTTGGCAATAAAGCTTAGGGGTGAAAATTATTGTCAGAAAAAAAAAAAGCTTAGGGGTAAAAATTAAAATCCATCGGAAACAACAATAGAACTTTGACATACATAGCGATGGTTACTTTGCCTCTCCACGTTGCAAAGAGGTTGTTATGTCCACCATATGTTTGATCAAGTCATTTCTGGACATAGAAAGTTAATCGTCCCAAAAAGAGAGATGTGATGTATATATATGGTGGAAGCGTGTGGTATGAACAGTGCGTGCGCGAGCGCGCGCGCTCGTGTTATTTTTGGGCCCGTTTGGTTGGCTTGTTTTGGCTGAAAGTATGAATAAGCTCCCATTCCCTTCTGAAACATGTCCATGGGGTATTAGTAAACGCCTATGAATTGGGCAAGTCCCATGCTGCAACCATCAAAGCACGAGACACTGACATTATCAGTTTCGTTAGATATGAAACAATAAATTATTATAAGGAAATACACTCACAATAATCAACTCTGAATCAACGAAAAAGCAAATGCTTTTCACTAAACCCATGACTTTGGGAAAGACGAATCTGTTTTCATCGTGGAAGGTGTTCAGTCTGAGACATTTCATTCAAAGAGAACGGATTAGGCTTCACCAAAGATTGATCCAAAAGTGATTCTGCTGCAATATTTTCACTTTGATTTTGTCTGGCATGCATGAAGAATGCGGGTTCTCTTGGAGATGGCAATTCAATCAAAGGATTACAGAGATATGAAAGAGTTTGAGACATTGTTGGCCTGTCTTCTGGATTTTCTTGAACACACAATAACCCCATTTGCACGCATCTTATTACTTCACTTTGAGAACAAGATTCCATTAGGCATGAGCCCAATACTTGTAATGGTGTTCCCTCATTCCACTGCTTCCAAGCCTGCACTAATTTGCCAAATAATTGGATAGTCAACGACATGTCTTCTGCAATTTTTCTCATTCATATTCGTCTATTAGATAGATATGAAAATATGATCAGGTAGAGACAGGAATTAAATTGGACTTCATACTCACATGAGTCAAGAGGTGTAATCGCCCTGTCGTGTAAGCTCTCAAATTAATTAACTAAATAAACCCTATTTAGTATAGAGGTCAACCTAGGTCGTTTCTCTCTATGAGGAGCTTTGTTAAAATTTTGAAAACCTTTTTAATTAAGAAAAACGTGATGTAGAGAAGGAAGGAGTAGGAAAGAAAATTGATTAATTTGTTTAAGAAAATAAATTGACAAAAATAAAAAGAAAATAACAATAAGTAAAAGGAAGCGAAAAGAACGAAGACTTTACCAGAATGATGTACTTCTCGAGGATGTTGATGAGTGGCTATCACGGTTCAAAAGGATGAGGAGTTTGTATCAAAACAATTACTAAGTTAAAAGAAAAAGACCCTAGATAACATCTAAGTCGTGATTAATTAATTAATAATTATACCTAAAGAGCTAACATATAATCACCTTTCAATTAATCATTTAAAAACCACTTAGCTTATGAATTTAATTAAATAATTATATCTTGTTCTTTAAAAAGAGTTATATATCGAAAACCCTAAAACATGAACTACTTGTGCAAATAAAAATAAAAATCTATAAAGATGAAACACTCATAGAGTCATGAGGAAAATGAAAATATATTCATTGAAAACTTCAAAACATAATTGTTCAATTGAAACACAAATCAAATATCAGTCTACAAAAGAAATCAAAATCCTAACCTATAAAATTCATAAAAGCAATGTATTAGTGGATTGAAATATAAAAACTAACAAACTTCCTAATCAAAACAAAAACTCAAGCCACGCCATCTTGTCCTCAAGAACAAAGAAGACTAGCCACACATATGGCTAGATGACACCATAATGATAAAAAGAGAATAATAAAAAAAACAGTGAAATAATTAGACACAAGAGGAAGCCAAGTGTATGCTTGTGCTTGTGTAGTGTAGATGGCTTCATTGCTTCTCCAAGGCTCCTTTGATCTCCTTTTATAGCTCTTGAATCTGTCCTAGATAGATGAGGAAACCCTTGAGTCTTCTAGTTTTATCTTTTATCTTCTTTTATCTTGTAATCTTGATAGAACTTTAAATTTGAATTCTCTTAATTTGGTGTGATCTTCATGACAACCAAAGTTAAAGGATTTTTGAATTTAAATGATATTGGATAAAACCTCAAATCAAAGCAAAAATACCTTTCAAAAGGGAAATTATAAAAAAAATATAATAAAAGATACACTTTTAAGCAATTTATTTATATAATTTCTTTAATTCAAAATATGAGTATCTTCTGCATTTTAAACCCTCTAAACAATATAAAATCCTTTAATTACATATAAAAATATATTATAAAATAGAGATATATCAAGGTGTGATTTATAAGACTTGGCATTCCTTTTGCTGCTAATTATCTCTAAGACCATAACTCCAAAACTAAACACATCTGATTTCTTTGAAATTTGTCCATACAGTAAATATTCTGGAGACATAAAACTACTACATAAAATATTAGTGTAATATATATAATAGATATCCAAGAAACAAATATGACTACTGTGGATAAACATATATATGAAACGATAGGAAAGATCGATCCTCAAGTTATTCTTTAAGATGAAGGAATGTTCACATAAGATATAAAATGCCATCAACTTGTTTCAAATTCAATTGCCTGTAAGTTTAAGATGCAGCTCAAGAGCATGCATGCGACAAATAGTGGGTGTAAGACTTACTATGGTCTAACAATTCTATTTGTATTTTCTTGATCTTGATCTATCGCAACCATTCTTACCATACCAAAATCTGATATTTTTGGATCTATCTTAGTATCTAACAAAACATTACTAGGTTTAAGATCATGATGAATAACTTTGAGGCAAGAATGGTCATGCAGGTAAAGAAGGTCTCGAGCAATTCCACCAATAATTTTGCATTGTTTTAGCCAATTTAATTGTCTTTGGTTTTCAGAATCTGCACAAAGTTAAATCAAAATGGAGAAAATCCATGAAAACAATTAGTTTAATAATATAAAAATGGCATATGTTAAAATTTTAAATAAAAAGAAAACGAAAAAGAGGTTGAAGTAGTTGAGACTATACCAAATAAAAAGAAATCAATACTCTTATTAGGAACATATTCGTAAACAAGAATTTTCTCTTGTTCTTCCAAGCAAAACCCCAATAAAGTCACCAGATTTCTGTGTTGGAGTTTGGCTATCAGTAAAACTTCATTCTTAAATTCTAATGCTCCTTGCTTAGAATTTTTGGAGAGTCTTTTAACCGCAATTTTTTGGCCATCACGAAGAATTCCCTAAACATAAGGCCAATTATGAGAAACTAACATAAATCTTTTTGGCCGTCAATAAAGATGGAATTGTTACCTTCAAAACGAAACAACAAACTATAGAATGCAAGAGATATATAAAATTAATCTACCTTGTATACATGTCCAAATCCACCTTTACCAATTCTGTTCTGGGGAGAAAAGTTATTCGTTGCAGTTTTAATTGTGGCAAGATTAAATCGCAAGGACTTCAGCTTTGAACTTTCTTTGCCAACTACACCAATATATGAGTACTCAAAACTTTACCAGCATGCCAAAATTCGAACATAATTTTAAATTTATAGGTAAACAAGTATAGATTACAGTTTTGTGTAAGAATAGATTGCTGGCTCCTCTGTAGTTTTCTCCTTAGCAAATAGCAGCTCATCAAACAAAAAAGCGTCACTGAAATAACAATGGCAGCAACAATAACCACTGCAATAATTTGTGATCCAGCATGTCGTTTTCCTGCGTACATAACAAGAACAGATAATCATTTAGGTGTAATTAAGAGCATATAAGAAGAATGGATTGCTTACCTGAAGGTGCAAGAGGAACAAGCGGAGGGGAGGGATGAACATCTGGTAAATCTGCAGATTCCTTGCTGACATTCTAAAAGCGGTATGTATAATATCTAAGGTTACATCCTGCGAGAAAAGTCATTGCACGTGGGCTCTCCTCGCAACAACATTCCTGAAGCTTCCTCGTATCTTCATCACAATCCTCACCTGTCGTAAGGCCGTTTCAAAACACTCGCTACATTCTGCCGTCTTCAAGTCCAGCGTGCACTGTGCTAACCCCTAAAGCTTCTGCATGACCGAGACTAGAACTTCGTGGGTGGCAAATTTCTTATCCGGCAAGTTTGAATTCGCAGCCTTTGCCGTCACATTCCCTAAAAGAACCCACACTGTTTGATTGAAAATGCTCTGGTCAGAGATTTCCGTCTTGTTAAGAGCCCAGTCGCCCCCATCTTCGCCGATTAAGCCATCGAACTTGAAGGATTTGCTGGTGTAACGCAACATGCAGAGATCGTAGTAAGCTATGAACTGGGTACCGTTTGGGCATTGGCGTAATGTTTTGTTGGCTGCGACGGTGACACCGTGTTGACATGTAGACGGAGTGACGTCGCCACGGCAAAGAATTTGTCCGCTGATGGAATTTTCTGTTCCCCAGCCCACAACTCTGGTGGAGAAGCCGTTGTCATGGGCGGCTTTGGAGCTGAGATCGGAGAGGAGGGCTCTCACATTAGCTTCATACGCATCCAACGATTTGTGATCAGTATGAAAATCACATTGGGAGAACAACCATCCGAAATCTGGAACCTGTTCATCAGCCGCGGCAAAGCTAAGTAGTATTAGCATTAGAGAGACGAACACAAGTATAGGGTTTTCGATGGTACCCATATATCCTTCGCTGCCAATTCCGATGACCAACTCTGTAGTTCAAGAACTGACATGGGAATTTTAAAATTGAAACAGATAATTGAGACCAAAAAATAAAATTGAAACAGATAATAATTTCATAACCAAGTCGAGTCGGCCACTTGTGATATTTTAGCCTTACTTTAATTTGGACGTTAATCACAATAAGTAACGTATAAACAAAAAAAAAAAGAGCACCCCCTTAAAAAGCTTCAGTAGTCAATCCAGTTCGTTGGCCCCAAGGAAAAAAAAATAAATTAATAATCCCTCGAATTTCAATTATGACACACTTCTGACTATCTTCTCAAAATTACGTAATGGTTAAATCATTAAAATTATTTGCAAATAAAATAATTTTAAAATTTATCTATATTTAAAATTATAGATTTTATGCAAGGTATTCGCTTCTGCTCCATATTATAAGAAGTCCACTAGAAAGTCTTTTTGATCCATTTTATAAGACGTTTTGATAATTTTAATGAGCATAAAATACTTTTTTTCATATATACGCATATTTAATAATTAATATGGACCAAAGGTAGTAATTCGCATAACATGATTGTGTGAGAGTAGAAGTTAATATGTGACATTAGTGTGATCAATAGGGATAGGAGGAAGTATAGTTCCGCTTGGGGACGTTTCAATTGACCTCCAAAGAAATGATGATAGACGTTGTCTCTGGGCATATCTGTGACACTTGATTAGTTTATTCACTTATTCCTGCATTAACTCTTTGTTGATTTCACTAGATATTTAAATATTTAAAAAAACTAATTAATAATCCCCTTTTTTATGCAAATTAACTAACTAGCATATGAGACCATTGTGACTAATAGATAAGATAGGAAGGACGATAGTTCCACTTTGGGGACATTTCAACTGATCCCCAAGGAAATTATAGACCTTTTCTATAGTCATAATCTGTGACACTTGAATGATCCTTATTATCTTCTGATACTATCTCTAGTCCTAAATATAAGAGTTAATCATGTGTTCTAAATATAAGTCGTCAATCCACTTTGTTTCCCAAATTTATAATGTATTCTCAAAAATATTTCTATTGATTGTAAGGTATTTCCACCAAGTGTAGTTCCAATGATTAATGATTGAATAAAGATAATTTAGGAAAGTTAATATACATTTATTATAAATAACTAATTTAACTAATTTTCTTAATTTCTCCAAATTAGTTATCTGGCTCTTATATTAAAGATTTTAGTACTACATAAAATGAATAACTGAACTCTGACAACTTGATTAGTTTATTTATTTAATTATGCCTGCAATTGAACCACGACCGAGCTCATCATTATTTAATTTTCTTTGTTGATTTCCCTATACATTTAAATCTTTAATGGCCGGCGAACGTCGATCAATTCAATTACGTTTGACAAATTCAAATTATACAATCATTTACAATAACAAATTAAAAAATCGAAGGTACTGAAGCTTTTTTTTGGGGGGGTGGGGAGGATCTCTTGAAAATTGAAAACAAAATCGAATTGGCTCCGTCAATATGAAATTAAACTTGCAATTCTTTTCATGGAACTCTTTTTTTTTCCGGCGTTAAAAATTGTTGATATAATTTTTGTTTCAAACATTATTTAATTGCTGGTCAAAAAAATTTAACATATCAAATTTGATATTATTTATACATTCTTAATTATTTATTGTTCATCCTATCAAATTTTGTATAATTCATATATTTTTCTAATAAATCAACTTTTACGTAACAAAAATGGCATATCATAAAACCCATGTCTTTTTTAGTAATAACATATTTAAAAATATTTTTATTATATATCATTTAAAAAAAATTTAGTTTACCGAATGGATTGTAAAAAGATCTGTCCAAACGTTAATACGATAACTAAATTTTAGCAAATAGATGTTTGCCAAAAGAACTTTTAACAAGCAATTTTTGGTCAAACTGTAACCCAATCATATTATTAATCTTCCTTTTCTTGTCAGCATTTGTTTCCGTTTGATTGTTGTTGATAACTTTTTATTGCCGTCCCTTTCTTGCTGAGTAAGACGTTACTTCATCGATGCAATTATCTTTTCCGGCCAAAAAGCAAAAAGAATCTTGGCTTCTCAAGTAATTTTACAATGAGAAAATTATACATAAATTCCAATGTAAATTAATTCATAGGGAAATTTTCATTCAAGGACCACTGGCCAAATAATTTCCATTTGTCCCCAATCAATTTTAAGGCTAAAATGAAATTAACTTATTAGGTGAAAAGATGTTGTTGCCCCATATATATATATATATATATATAAATGAAAAAAGGGTCTGAGCTAGTCAATCACTCAAAGTGAGTTCAAAACCTAAATCGCTCACTCCGTCCTCTTCGTGTATCTCAGACTGTAGTTCTCCCACACGTTCACTATCCGGGTTTAGACTGGGATAATTTTTAAAGATACCATAACGATCGCCATTAGAAGGATATGAAGTATTGAATGAATAAACATTCTGTTGTTATCATCGTCACCGTCATGGTCGTTGCCCTCCTGATTCTCAATCTTCAATCGCTGTGGTCCTCATGTTCTATCACCGTCGCTGTCATTCACTTCTCGCTCGTTTAGCTCGCAAAGTTGATTCTGGTAGGATCTCCCTCCCACTCACTCTCCATTCTGGCTCAACTAGCATTCCCTCCATGTCTTTGCCGTAATATGGGTTCTTATGCACTTGAACCAAGTTTGCGCGATTTCTTCCCCTCTTTTTTTGAGCTATCAAGGTGATTTAGCTTGAGCATTAATTAGAAGGCTAATAGGATGCTGTGCGTATGGCTTTCAAGGGTGTGATAGATTGCAATAAGGGATAGGACTTTCTGATTAGATGCTTCAATGGCAAACATTCACTTATTGTCGAAGAAGAAAAAACAAGGACAAAATATAAGCGAACCTTATTAATGGTGGCATTTATAGTGGATTTTAGGAGATTGCTAGTTGTTTAGTATACTTGGTGTCCATAGCATAATTGTTTTGTGTTTCAGAATTTTTGCCATGGACCGACATAGGATGGTAACTTTGTGACAAACTCTTTGATTGTCTGATCTTGTAGATATATGTCCCTCTATCTCTCGCTCGGTAGCAGGGCTAAGGTACTGGCGGCACAATAACGGGTTCTGAGAAATTTCTTAAAGGACAAAATCCGAACATTAAGGCTAGTTTATCTGTTTGATCTTAACTGAATGTCAGCACATTCATTTATTAGAAAATGGAGGATAATTTGTCATAGTTGTGACTGTGCAGTGCATTATTTTTATTACTCAACTATACGACTCGAATTATATATTAATGAGCTTATGCATTATTTTTATTGCATGTTTCACATGCAACTTGGCTTATCATGGGACTTATTATTGTGATGTAGGAACATCCTGCTGCATTGATATTTGCTAGTGATTATAATCGCTACTATGCTGTCGTTTTGTGCTTTCTGTAATTTTTGGTTTTCAGGAGTATTGTTGGTGCACATCTCTAGTATTAACGATTGAAGTAAAAAAAATTAACAAGTACCCTTACTCGTATGACAAGTGAAGTTAAGAAATTTACACAAAAAGTTAATTGTATTTATAAGTTGATTGTAGCAATTTTATGTTTACTAGTGTAACAAGTGAAGTTAGGTAATTTACAACAATAATTATTGCACTTACAAGGTAATAGTAGCAAATTTATGTTTACTGGTGTAACAACTGAAGTTAGAAAATTTAATTACAACAAAAATTGGTGCATTTACAAGTTGATTATAGCAATTTCATATTTATTGTTGGAAAAACTAAAGTTATACATTATTTTGCGTTTTTAATATTCTACACGTATGAAGCTAACCACGATACTTATTGTTGTTAATTTTGCTATAGGATTAGGAACAACTCACTTCATTGAGATCGAAGCTGTTGTGGGGTTTGTTACTCACAAATATAATTCAAAGACGGATGCTGTTGCAAAACTGACTTGAACAAATAAAGCCACAGTGAAAAAGAAAGCGATGACTTATAAATTCATTTATTTCAATTGAAAATCTAGTTTAAGCTAAGTCGAACATGTAAAAATTTGTATTAAGACATTTTGGTTTGGAGTACTTTGTTATTTGTTCTGGTGAGATGAAGTAGTTTGTGTACAGAGAATTTTTGAAATCTCAATTTTATAGAATCATTAGTTGTGATTGTGGAAATTAGGAACTTGTGAAACAATTATTTAGACCCATCGGTAAACGCATGCCACCGACAATTAGATTAAGTAAATTTACAACAAAAATAAGTGACTTTCACAACTAAACTAATGCACTCACAATTAAACTAAGTACATTCACAATTGAAGTGCATAAATTTACAACAATTGTTAAGTGATTCACAACAAAGATAAGTTAGCGTACAATTAAATATAAGTATTGACAACTAAACTAATTGAACTCACAGCTGGTGATTCAAGAGAGGGATAAATTTATAACCATTGGTCATAAGTGATGGAGTTAGCATTTACAAATATAAGAAAATTTATAACCAAGATAAGAATATTCACAAAGAGGGATACAAAAATTTACAGCTAAAGTAAGACCATTTACAAGTGAAGCTACAATTGGCAACGAGTGAGGTCTTCACATATTCTCCTCTAACATGAAAGACACAAAATAATTACTTTCTACTATTGTTAGTCATACATCATCTATTGCTATACATAATTAATGTGTTAATTTCAATCAATTATCAAAAATCAAATGGAGTATAAATTTACAATTAGAATTTGCGAATTTACAATACAAATATGAATTTTCACAACACAAAATTACTATTTCCCTGGACAAGTGGAATTTGCGAATTTACAACACAAATACGGATTTTTCTGGACAACTCAATTCAATACCCCTCATTCTTTTTCAGGTCATTTTGGTCTTTTAGCTTAACAAATTAATTTCACTTTACCCTCATATGGGTGCGGTAATATTTCAGACTTTTATGGGGGCATTCAGATATTAAATCCCTACAGTGAGGGCTAAGTGAAATTTTTCCTAATTTATATACAGTCCTGTTGTGCGGATGTATTAAACTAGTGCGATCACTGGATTGATGGAACTCTAAAAAGCAAGAACAAATCTGAGGGCAGCGTACTTAATTAATGCGGCTTTCATTATATTGATTTTAAATCTAAGTCACTTATAGTATATTTAATATTTATTTTCTAATATTTCTCATTGAAAAGAGAGAAAGAATAGAGAGATGTGATAATGATTTGCAAATATAGGGGGGGGAAACTTCTAATAAACTTAAGATTGAAAAATTTCACAATATAATGCATTCATTGGTATAGGAGAATGTGTTACCAGTGACTTATGTTAAGTATCAGAGTGATATGAGGTAAATATATTGACGTGAATAAATTGAAACTCGTGTGGTATATACAGTTTTATGCTGAAAAATCTTATATGTTCTATATAGTTTCACCATATATGAGCTTGTCACTTTTGTAAGCTGCTCTAAATCCACCTTTTCGTGTTTTATTCTCAACTGAGAAATTATTCACTTCAGCTTCAACAGCAACCAAACGAAATCGCGAAGACTTCAAACTGAAATTCTGGCTTTTCGCATTGCAGATTTCTTTGAGCATGTTCTTGTAAATCTTCCTCTTTCTCCAAGAGGCATGGCAGAACACAGCAATAATGAGCATGCCTATGACTGTGGTGTATTGGTGTTAAAACCTGATCCGGACCAATCACTTCAAACCAAATCAAATCAAACCCACCACAAGAGATTAAAATAAAAACGAATATGAAGACTCAAAATGGTTTTCTGTGCGAAACGATTAAATTTCAGAGTTGGTGGCGTGATTTTAATTAGAAAGATCACTTTCCACCTTATTGATCCAGTAATGTTGAAATGAGTTAAATATCCTCACAGTGCATGCATGTAAAACATCACAAAGTATAAACCGGCAAAAAAAAAAAACAAAAACAGGTCGTGAAACCTGCTAGTGATTTAGATATCGGTTGGAACTTGGGAGAAGAGAAGAAGAAGCTGAAGAGGAGTTGGGATTACGTTTTCAAAATTTAATAGGGAAATTATATTGTGAGCTTAATTCTTTGAACAACTGGATTTGAGGGACCAGTTTTCCAGTCTGTGCTGCCCATTATTGTTCAAACAATATATGCTCTAATTAAGATGGCACTTCAATTTATTCTCAGATGGAACCTGCGTAACTAGGGCAGATATTGGATTTGACCCACAAAACATGATGTGTTTATATTAACCGAATGCTTATGACTCTCTCTTGGAATGAAAACACGCCTATCGATCTCATGACGGAGAAAAAACGTTTGAATTTTTTTTTTTTTAAACCAAAGAAAAAGTATTTGAATTGAAACATTTTTTCTAAAAAATTTCATAACCAAGTGGACCCCACCTGTGGATGTGTTTCAACCTCTTAATTGGCCCTCAAATCAAAACCTTAATAGTCAATACTCATCCCATAGGGTATGTTTGGATTAGCAGTAGCAGAAGTAACTTTTTCTCAATCTGATTTTTATAGAAATCAGATTGGGCAAAAGTTAAATAATATAGTATGATTTATGTTTGGATTAAATTTTGTAAAAATGTTAGTTTGAGAAGCTGAAACTTGTTTGAATGATTAATAGAAAAGTAAGTTTAGATGCAAAATAACTTAAAAGATATAAATTTTATTAAGTAATACATATCTAATATCTCATATATATATATATATGTATATAATGTGACTATTTTAAAAGAAGTATTGAAAATAAAATTATTAAAACTAAAAAAATTTAATTTATTGTTAGGAAGAAATTAAAAAATATTAAAATACTTAATTAAATATATTTAATGGATAAATATATGCATATAAATTACTTTGATGGTCCCAACTGAGTATTTTTCAGACTTCTCAGCTGCGCCTGTGTTCTTCTTGTGTTCCAGACTACGCAACTGAAAATAAACGCATGCAGACACCCAAAATGAATATATGATGAGTAGGTGGAAATTTTAAATTACCATTAATGCTCCAAGAGCTTTTTGGGACGCACAAGTGAAAGCAATAAAAGGAAGCTTCTTCTCGAAAGCCCATTTGCACAAATAAGTGAGATTGCAAAAATATGATTCCAAACACATCTAAAATACAAAAAGCCCCTTTTGCTAGTTGGGAAGTTAGTTTGTACCTCTGAATGTAATCCCAAACACACCCTACATTTGCTTCGTTCCACGGAACATTTGCCCAAGTCAGTGTTGAACTTGGAATCCTAGGGTTCCGTTGTGTTCATAATCATAATCGATGGAGAGAATTATTTATTGGATATTTGTGCATTGATATATTCTATATTAATTCTATTTAATTTATACAGAGATAAAGAAGGCAAAAAATTTATACATAGATAAACATATTCAAAAAAAAAAACAAACAAAGAAAGAAAGCTAGTGCAATCTTTTTGTTGGATTTAAATCATGGTATTGTTATGCATTTACATAACTCATCACTTATGATTTAAAATCTATTAGTACCATATCTTTTGTTGTAAAAAATCATTTTTTTCCTATTACCCTTTTGATGGACCTAATTGAATCTAAATTTTGGTAACAAAGCTCACGGGTACAAATTAAAATCCATTGACAATAGCAATAGAATTTTCAAATAGATAGCCGTGGTTAAAATAATGCCTCTCCAGGTTGCAAAGAGGCCGTTATATGCTCCAAATGTTCGGTCAAGTCACCACTGAACATAGAAAGCTATTCAATCCAAAAAGAGAGTTGCAAAGAGGAAGCAAGTGTTTGGTATGAACAAAATTATTATATTATGGATCGATTAAATTTTGCCATTAACTCACATTAGAGGGCCTGATTGGATGGCCTATTTTGGCTGAAAAAGTAAGAATATATAGCCTCACATTCTCTTCTGAAACATGTCACTTGTTAAGCAAGCAGCCGCGGAAGCACGAGAATCTGGTATTGGCCCTCTTAGATATGAAGCAAGAAATTATACGAATATGCACTCACAATCAACAAAAAAGCGAATGCTTTTCATCACTTGAAGATAATGACTTGAGAAAAAGACGATAACCTGTGTTCATCATCGCGGGAGGAAATCAGTCCAAGTCATTTCATTCAAAGAGAACGGATTAGGATACATAGAAGACTGATCCAAAAGTGATTCTGTTGCAATATTTTCATTTGGATTTTGTCTGCTATGCATGAAGAATGCTGGTTCTCTTGGAGATGGCAATTGAATGGAAGGATTACTGAGATATGAAACAGTTTGAGACATTGTTGGCCTGTCTTCTGGATTTTCTTGAACACACAATAACCCTATTTGCATACATTTTATTGCTTCAATTTCAGAATATGATTCCATCAGAAAAGGGTCCAATATTTGTAATGGTGATCCCTTGTTCCACTGCTTCCAGACCTTGTCAAATAATTACACAATCAAATTCACCTTAGCATCTTAATTTGCAACATATGGATATGATATGATTACAGTACAGGAGCAACAATTAGCATAGATTTAATACTTACATTTGTTAAGAGGTGTGATTCATACGATCTAGCATTCCTCTTCCCACTAAGCACTTCTAAAACTATCACTTCAAAACTAAATACATCAAACTTTTTAAAAAATTGTCCATTCATTAAAGGGTTAATGCAATGATTGGTCCCTACACTTCACATTCATTTTGGTTTTAGTCCTTGGAGTTTGAAACCCTTGATATTGGTCCTTTAAATTTGCTCTGTTAAAAATGTTAGTCCTCCTATTTTTAAAAGGACTTGAGTCTAGATTTAACACGCTTGGCTGTCATTAACACCGTTTAAATACTGATCTGGAAGCTGACTGGATGAGATGAGGTGGCTTTTAAAAAATAAAAAACATAGTACCGCCAAAAGGGAACACACCGTCCAGTGGGGAGGGAGTTATACTCCTGTCAAAAAATAATAATAATAGCAAAGTCACACCACCTGTGCGTTTCGTTTTGCATCATCTTAATTAAAAAGCTGGACACGTGAAAAGATTAAAAAGAGAACAGGGAGCGTTGAAACCATTCAAAGAAGAGGAGAAAGAGAAAAGGGTTCTTTGTTCAGTTTTCCTATTTGGGTTCTGTGTCAGTTGATTGCTCTAATTTCTTCCCCTTGTTGTTTGTTATTGTCGTTGCTTGCTTTTGTTCGTTCAGTCCATGGAATCCATAATCATCTTAGTTGGTTCGCATAAAGCTCTGTTTTTCTTCAAAATGATTTGTCTTTCAACTAACTGAAATCCTAAAAAGATACATCTTTTAACTGACAAGATCCTTCTGTCACATTCACCGAAAATTATCCCTGCACCCTCAAGCGATTAAAACGAAGCTTTGGCACATGGCTATGGTGTGAAGCTTTGATGGGATTTTGCCCTAACTCCTTTGTTCCCTACGTCGTCTTTGTATGAGTTGTGCTCTCTGTCCTGTCTTTGTGAGTTTTGACTTCTGCCCTCTTTTTCCTTTTTTTTTAAAATTATTTAAAGGTCCAGGTCACACATGACATGTGATAGTTATTTTCCACCTCATCTTGTTCAGCCGGCATCCAGATCATCATTTTAAACACTGTTAGTGACAGCTAAGCATATTTAACAGTGTTAAATCTAGATCCAAGTCCTTTTAAAAATAAGAGGACTAACATTTCAAATGGAGCAAACTTAAAGGACCAATATCAAAGGTTTCAAACTCTAGGGAGTAAAGCCAAAATAACTGTAAAATGTAGGAACCAATCATTATATTAACCCTCCATTAAATATTTAAGAGCTATATAACCACTAGAAAGTTTAAGGGAAAAAAATGTATGAAAAACATACTTGGATCAATTTGGGATCAATGAGGACAAAAAGCAAAACTCGTCATGAAATAAATAGGATATATGAAGCAATGTTCCCATAGGCGATAGGTGCAAACTCCTTTTGTTTCTTATGCAATTTATTAATTGAGATAACCAATTAAAACGAGGGTATCAATACTTACTATGTTCCAACAATTCTATTTATGTTTTTTTTCTTAATCTTCATCTATAAAAATTAAATTAGTTAATTGGGTCTTATATTAAAGTTTAAAGATAGTCTTATTCAAAACGAGCAATTAAACTCAAAGATTTGACAACTTGATTAGTTAGTTTATTTAAATATTATGCCTGCAATTGAACTACGAGCTCATAATTTTCTTTGTTAATTTCACTATATATTTAAATATTTTATGGCCGGTCAACATCGATCGATTACAAAATCAAATTAAACAAACATTTACAATAACCAAAAAAAGGTCGGAAGTACTGAAGCTTTATCCCCTCTCCCCCAAATCATCTCGAAAACTGGGGGAAAAAAAATCGAATTCACTTTGTCAATATGAAACTTGGCCGTGGGCTTCTAGAGTGTTCAATTTTTTTTTCAAATAAGTCCTGTATTGAAAACTGTGACGCAGGGGACGGTAAAGAGAAGATATAAATTAATACTCCTCTAATCCTATTTATAAGATAGAGAAAAAACGTTTTTTTCTCTTATTTATAAATCATCTCATTAAATTTTTACCCTAAATATATTATAGTGTCCTTCATTTATTATAGTATAGATAGTTATTTTTTTTGAAAGATTTATATATTAAATAGGGATAAAACTGGAAAGTTGCTATATTTTAATAAAGAGTTAATGCA